CCCTATTTGGCATGCATATGGGAGGCAACCATCAATTGATGCTTCTCTCTCCCTCTCCCTTCCTCTTTCCAAATATATCCTTGGGTGAGAATTTAAAAGAAAAAGAAAGAAACCTCACAGGCATTTTCATTTTTATTTATTTATTTACTTTCATCTTCACCCAAGGATATGTTTATATTAATTTCAGAGAGAGAGAGAGGAGAGAGAGAAACATCAATGTCAGAGAGCAACATCCATGGGTTTCCCCCTGTACACACACAACAGGGATAGAACCTGCAACCCAGGTATGTGCCCTGACCAGAATGGAACCCACAACCTTTGTGGTATATGGGAGGATGCTCCCACTAATAGAGCAACTTAGCTAGGGTCTGAGCATTTTTATTAATGGAGCAATTTATATATTTTTCAAATCAGTAAATATGCTTATCACCCACTGTTTTTAAGGGATAATGTCAACTGTGGCCAAACAGGAATAGTTCAATGTCATAACTTTAATGTTGTTTAAATCTACTTGATGAAAAGATGACTATTTACATGTGAAAATTTAAATACTAAAATAAGATAGACAACAATCAAAGAGTCCTTTCTCTTCACACCCTCTCCAGCACTTGTTGTTTGTTGATTTATTGATGGCATCCATTCTGGCAGGGGTGAGGTGATACCTCATTGTCATTTTAATTTGCATCTCTCTGATGATTAGTGATGTTGAGCATTTTATTGATATGTCTCTTGGCCATCTGTATGTCCTGTTTGGAAAGGTGTCTATTCAGGACTTCTGCCTATTTTTTAATTGGATTGTTTGTCTTCTTTTCGTTCAGTTGTATGAGTACTCTATATATTTTGGAAATTAACCCCTTTCTGGTATATCGTTGGCAAATATGTTCTCTCATGCAGTAGGTTCCCTCTTCATTTTCATGCTGGTGTCTTTTGCTGTGCAGAAGCTTTTTAATTTGATGTAGTCCCACGCACTGCTGTTGGGAATGCAGACTGGTGAAGCCACTATGGAAATCAATTTGAAATCTCCTCTAAAAATTAAAAATGAAACTGCCATTTGGCCCAGTGATCTCACTTCTAGGAATGTTTCCGAAAAATCCCGAAATGCCAAACAGAAAGAATATGTGTACCCCTATGTTCATAGCAGCATTATTTACAATTGCTAAGATCTGTAAACAGCCCAAATGCCCATCAGTAGATGAGTGGATAGAAACACTGTGGTGAATTTGCACAATGGGATCCTAGGTAGCTGTAGGAAAAGAAGGATCTATTACCCTTTGAAACAGCAAGGAGGGACCTGGGGAGTAGTATGCTAAGCAAAATGAGCCAGTCAAAGAAAGACAAATATCATATAATCTCACTTATATGTGGAGTCTAATGAACAAAATGAACTGATGAATAAAATGGAACCAGAGGCATGGAAACATGGAACAAACTGACAAACCTCAGAGGGAGGGGGGAGTCAGGAAGTGATTAACCAAAGAATTTATGTACATGGATGGATTGCCCGTGGACACAGACAATAGGGTGATGACACCATGGGGTGGGGTGGGAACCTAGTAGAGGGGGTCAAAGGGGAAAAAAGAGAGGGACATCTGTAACTCAACAATAAAGGTTAAAAAAAGAAAAGATGCCAACATTGGAAATAGCATAAGACAGTATATAATCAATTTTTAATTAAATGTGCAAAAGTATTGTCAGTGCAAATTTAGAAGAGTAATATATCAGTGGTAGTTGGCCGCATGAAGGAAATCTTTATAAAAGATACAGGATTTAGCTGGTAGCTTGAAGGATTTTTTAAGATTAAGGTAGGTGAAAATGGAGGAGTCCAGTTTACTTGAAATAAGTTGAATTCTTTAAAATAATGAACTAGGATGGAAAAGTGCAAGAGAAAGAAGAAGATAAAAAAAAAAAAATTAAGTAAACAAACAAAAAACCATCTGAAAAGGTAGGCTGGGTTTTAGACATTTAACCAACAGAGAGGGAAGAACAGTGAATATTTTATTAGAACAATTCCGATGTTACCATAGACCACTGTTTAAGTGGTATACAGGCTTGATTCGAGGATGGGAAAAACAAAAAGCAAGACATTCAAACGAAATAGTGGGTTAGAGACTTTTTACTCAACAGAGTCTTTTTTCTGAATGAAATCTAACTGTGATCTCCAACATATAAACCAAGAAAAATGACATTCCTTTAAAGCAATCTATTTTCTCAGTCAGGTTGGTATTTAAATATTTCATTAATGGGAATACAACTTTCACCAATGGTATTTCCTTATCCATGAAAAAAAAAAGTTACATATTAAAGTGTGTTTGTTTAAACTAAAATATAGTGATATTTCTAAAAAGAGATTCCAGTCAGGGTTTCTGAGACGAGGCATTCAGTTTGCAGCACATGGAGACAGAAGATTATTCCGGCAGCTTCAACGAGGGGAATTGGATGGACCGAGCTGATGTCGCCCCTGTACCGGCCCTCTGGGCGCCTGTCCGCCCGCAGGCCGACTTCCGAGTCCTCCGGGAGCAGGCGGGGCTCTGCCTCTGCCATCTGCGCCCATCCTCCCCTTGCCCGCTCTCTCCTGGCCAGCCTTCCTCCTTGGCCAGCCCTTGCCAGTCAGAGAACCGTGCGTGCTCCACGTGCCGGTCTGTCCTGTGCAGAACACGTGCGGTGCTCAGCGTGTGCTTGGGAGGGTCAGCCTCGCCCGCGGAGAGTCCCCCCGCTCGCCCTGTCCCACTGTGTGTGGTATCGTTGGCTCTGGGCTTAAAGGGTCTGCCCGTTGGGTCCATGCTCTGTGAATCCTTCACTTGACTCACCGTTGTTGAATGAAAGGATGATAAATGCAGTTGTTTTTTTTTTTTAATACATTATATTTTTTAGATCAGTTTTAGATTAACAATAACATTGAACAAAAAACACCGATTTTCCAAATAGTCCCTGCCCCCAGGCCCCATGCATAGCCTCTGTTACTATCAACATCTCCCACCAAAATGCGACCTTTGTTACAGTGATGAGCCTACCCTGACACATTAGTATCAGCCCAAGTCCATCGCTTACAGTAGGGTTCACCCCTGGTCTTGCACATTCTGTGCGTCTGAACAAATGTATGCATATGTTCACTGCTGTGGTATCACACAGAGTAGTTTCACTGAACTGGAGTCCTCTGTGCCTGGTCATCTCTCCTTCCCCTGAAACCCGGCAGCCACCGACCTCCACCGCCGTCCTCTCCACAGTGTCACGTAGTTGGAATCGCATAGTGAATGCCTCTCAGATGGGCTTCTTGCACTTAGTGATATGCATTTAAGGTTCCTCCGCATCTTCTCATGGCTTGATGAATAAAGCTGCTATAAAAACCTGTCTGCAGGCTTTTATATTTATTTATACATATAAATTCAGTTTTAAATGGGAAAAATGAAAAGACACTCAGGTAAAAATATTCAAGACTCTTTTGGACCTTTTCAGGTTAGCATTAGGGGAGATAAAGACTAGGTATATCCACTTGTGATATCCATCCTGTTTCCAGTTTCTCTCGTGAAAATCTCCCGTATGCTAGATATGATGCTCAGTGCTGGAAATGCAGAGTTGAGAATGACGGAGTCCTTGAGTTTAAGAATCTCACAGAACAGTGGAGAAAAGAGGCATGAAACGAATCTCAGAATAACATGGGGAATGCCACAATATAAGTATTAGGGAGTTGTAATCAGTTCCATTTGACAGGGCAGAGAAAGCCTCAAAAACTAACAACATGTGAACCTTGAAGGAACAGCTGGAGCTGACAGGCAGATGATTTGAGAATAGTCACAAACAAATTTATAGTTTTGAAAAGGTACAGAGTAGGCTGCTGTTGTGGAAATTAAACGATAAAAATAGGCTGATCAGATGGAGGTTTTTTTAGGTCCTGCTAATGAGTTCAAACTTTTGCTTGTATCAGTGATAATCACTGAATAATTTAAAGCATAGGTGTGATGTGAATGCAGATTTTAGAAATAGAATCTGTTTGCCTATGTGGCAGAGAGGATGGAGGATGTGAAGATGACATCCCAGGACTAGGAGAGCCCGTGGGACAGCTCACCCCCAAGGAGACTGACCTGTGATGGGGAAGTAGAGGTCAGATGGAAGAGGAAAGTTTGGAAAGTATTTAAGACATTGAATTCATTGGGAAGTTACATCTAGTGTTGCTTATCTTATCCTTATGTCTCTTTTCTAAAGCACATTAAGATCCATTTGGTTTATGCAAACACTAGAGCTACAGAGGAGATGTCAATATAAATACTACTGATTTTGTTTAACAAGTAAAACTTTTAGAATTAATTTTATATATTCCCTAACCAGTCTCTAAAAATATGCTGTTTTTTTAAAAAAATTTTTTTCTTATTAATATACATTTTATAGGACTAGGTGTTGAATTTCTATTTTATAGCTTTTAGATGTTGAAATATAGGGAGGCATGAGTTTCTACTGAGAAAATTAAGAGGCGTAAGCGAATCAAAGGGTTATTGAATAATTTGTAGCACAGTCTTAATGATTAACATGCCATTTGGAATGAAAGGTTGGCATAGATCTGGAATAAGAGTAAATAAATTTCTCAAGCACTTCATGCTGATCAATATCGGCATGTTCTCTTGGTACACCAGGATGAACGAAAGAAAGTAGTTAAATCTACAAGCACTAAATTAATTAATTGTCTTTAATTAGCAATTTGGTTTTTCCACATGAGTAACTTTGTTGGGAAGTTATTGCCTTTTGTAACTGTGGGGTAAGAATTAGGTAATAAGATCTTTTAAGAACAAATTGAGATATGGAGGTAACAACTGTAATTAAGATTAGAAATGGAGATAACAGCCCGGTGATTTATTATGGCAGCACTGACAACTTGAAATCTGGAGGAAATAAACTGAGGACAGTTCAAATACTGTTGTTACCTTTGTGGTTGTTGCTTATTGCCAGTCTTGTTGGGTGTGTGCATGCATGTATATGCAAATATGCTCTTTTTTCTCATTTAATTTCAGCTATGACAGTGATAGCTGGTGCCCGCCGTTACCAGTGCAAACATACTTGCACCAGGGCATGGAAGATGAACTGGAAGAAGACGATGACCGCGTCCCCACCCCTCCTGTCCGAGGAGTGGCATCCTCTCCTGCTATTTCCTTTGGACAGCAGTCCACAGCAACTCTCACTCCCTCCCCACGGGAAGAGATGCAACCCATGCTGCAGGCGCACCTGGACGAGTTGACGAGGGCCTACCAGTTTGACATAGCAAAGCAAGCATGGTAAATCTGCACAGCTCAGGGGCACCTGTGCTCTCGCCACAGGGTACAGGGGCAGTGTCCTTGCACGTGAAATTCACAAGAGCGTCTCATGGAACTATGCAGCCGGGGTTGGAAATGCTTTTGTACAACTTTTAATCATCTAGATAAGGAATTCAACTGAAGAAACGTTAAATAACTTGACCAAAGTCACCTAACTGGTTAGAGTGAATCGGGGCAAGAAGTTAGATCTGCTGAATTTCAAGCAAAAGTGCTTTTGGCTACAACAGAATCTTTTCTAATTTATAGTTTAACTTCAATTAGCCTATCCTTGAACTCACTTCCAATACCATAATAAAAGACTCCTTTTAGATTCTTTAGAGTGTCTATAATTAATTCTGTATGTGGTTATGAATATATAAATGTAAGCTTCTGAAAATCACATATGGTCAATGTCAGTTATTAAAAGACCTTCTTTGGGCTGATTAAATGAGACAGGAAAAATTACAATATTAGTAACAGTAAATGCATTTAAAAAAACATAGAATAAATTGTAAATCCCAAATTACTTTCTTTCTAATAAATCTACAAACTTGCATAAGGTATAAATGGAAATATACTTAAGTGTCCTGTGAAATATGACAGGAATACGAGTGGGACCAAGGCTCCTAGTTATTTTCCTCATTTGCTCTCTCTTCTCCCAAGTGGTAACATAAAGTCCGACTCTTTAAAGTGATATCTTAATGAGATACCTTTGATTATCTTCTGTTTATTTACACCGCGTGCTTGAAGTTAGAGTAAAATTTTATGAAAGAGTATTGGCTTCTTTTTTCATCATTTTGGCAACTGGGACAAATTGATAATAAGATAAATCTTATTCACAGTGTTAATAAACTAATTTAAAAATATAGCTAAATATGCAAAGAGTTACTAAAACCAGGACTATCACTTAAAGCTTATTACAAACATAGGTTCTTTTCTTAGAATTAGGGGTTCTTGACCATTTTTCTCAATTATAAGATTTCCTCCCCCAAAGATTTAAGACAATCTACTTTAAACAGTGTTATATTGCGTCAGACTGCTTTACAAAACACCACTATTTCAGTTGAAGCCAGCTGCTTTAAGAAACAGATTTCCTGCACGTTAACTTATGAAGCTGTGCGGTTTAGTTACTTAATGCACAGATTGTGGCTCCGGGTTCTCAAATCTGAGTGAATTTTGGAATCACCTGGACAGCTTTAAAATATGTTGATACCTGGCCCTCCTGCAGATGTTCTAATGTTCGTGGGATTTGGCTGGAGCAGCGAGGTTGGACCACCACAGCCCCCCCTCCTCACTGGGTTTATGGTGCTGGGCAACTCGTTTGATGTCTCTGTGCTCCAGCTCCCCATTTGTAAGTGATGGTGTAATAGTAACTGGCTCATACATGAAGTGAAAGGGCGGTTGCCGAGAACATCCTCAGGTTTAAGAGTTCACCAGAAGAGCCAGACTCACAGAAAGCTGTTACACTTGGGTACGGTGTATTATAGTGAAAAGATACAGAGTCAAGTCAGCCAAGAACGGAGAATGCATGGGACAGAGTTCAGGACGGTTCCAAAGACAGAATGTCCAACTGCCCTCCCGCAGAGGAGTCGTGGGAAGGTCCCTTTCCAGCGATGTGTGAAATTCCAAGGAGCCTGGCCGGCCAGGGAAGCGCGCAGCAGCCTTGAGGTTCTGGGTGCTGGGCTCAGTCACTTAGACGTGGGTGACCACTTGCATGGCTGACCTCAACCTCCAGCCCCTCCAGAAGGCAAGCTAATACCTTTGTCAAAGACCCCACCTTAAGTCACATTGTTAGACTTTCTGGAGGAGCAGAAGGCCTCCAAGGAAACAAACACATTTTTCGTTTATTTGTTTTTATTTTGTTAATCCTCACCCGAGGATATTTTTTCCTTTGATTTCCAGAGAGAGTGGAAGGCAAGGAGAGAGAGACAGAGAAAGAGAGAGACATCGATTTGAGAGACAAACATTGATTGGTTGCCTCCCACATATGCCCTGACCATGGTGGGGGATCAAACTTACAAACCAGGAACATGCCCTTAACCAGGAATCAAACCTGAAACCCTTTGGTGTACAGGCCGACGCTAACCACTGAACCACATTGGCCAAGGCACAGAGACTTTTGTATCAGCAGCACACGCATTCTAGTACTGAGAGATGACTTACTCTTACAGGAAGGGCACAGGGCAAAGGCTTCACTTCTCTCTGGGCAAGGACAAGCTTACCAATCCACATCACACTTGCTGTGCGCGTTGTGACTTTGCATTTGCACAGTACTTCATAAAGAGTGTAGCTGTGTTATAGTTGTTGTTATTCAGACGGGGTTGGGTTTTCACCCTAACTGATCACTCCTGTTTTTCTTTTTTTTTTTTTTTGTAAGTGCTTCTAGCAGGCACCGAACCCGGGACTCTCTGGCCGACGCTCCAACCTCTGAGCCAGGCTGGCCAGGCTGTCTTTCTACTCTTCGAAGAGTGCCCACTTAGTGAGTGCTCCACAGACAGTTCCTAGACGAGTGGACAAATGAGCTCACCTCCGCCGCTCCCATCTCCGTGGAGCAGGCTCTGCTTCTTTTCCCGAATACGTTTCTCTCCCGTCCAGCAGTCCTCCAGACGTGATTGCCGACGCCATGCAGGGATTCGAGGTGCCAGGCGCTCCCCCAGGACCTTGCCCTCTGGAATGGAAATGCCTCTCCATCAGGGCGCAATTCAACATCCCAGGAGAGACAGTTACAAAATAGTCACTCCCAGGCTGCAGCTGTTGGGACTCTGTTCAGATTGGCCCCTGAAGTGCCCAGCAGGGCCTGTCACGAGGAGATACTTACAAATGTTATGTCCCCTCCTTCTGCATTTGAGTGTGTCTCTTAATCCTGCCAAACTCGGGGAGCACATTTTTCACCCCTTATTGTATCTCTGTTCCATCAAGAGGTGTCGGCAGTAATGCAGGACTGGAGTGTAGGTCTGTGTGGTCCTTCCCTGGAACCAAGCGCCCACCTCCGCGGAGAATAAATGGTGTACATAAACACCGCCTGACATCCGCTTGCTCATGACTTGGCTCACTTCATCCTTAATTCACAAACAAAACCCGAGGCCGCGCTTCCAGCAAGGTGTAGTCATCAGCACTCAAGACTTTCTGTAGAACTAGTTAGGAAACTCCCTGCCCTTCCAGATGAGCTGTGGTGAATGCCAAGCAAGAGCGTGGGGCCTCATTCCTGACCTGTGCAACCAAAGGTGTGGGCTGATGGCTCAGTGGTAGCTTCCGAAACTGAGGTTTACTGTTTTGTTTTGGTTTTTGGTTTTTTTTTGCATTGAAAGATCTGGAATCTTGCTAACATTAGAGTTGGCTGCAAATATGGTTGCAAAAAGACTATTAAATCAAGAAGAGTGAAATGTTTTCCCTCAAAATGCTGATATTAAAGAAAACTGATCTTGTATCTTTAAATAAAAAGCTAACAGTAAAGTACATAGCACTTGCTTTACATCTCCTTAAATAGCAGAAGTCTTTTAAATACTTTGTATCAAAGCAAAAAAAAAAAAAAAAGACTTACTGTGCCCAAGTATGTGGTATCCTCACCCTTTAATGAGGTAACAAATGCAGTGTGTTTTGTTTAGCATTTTAAGGTTTAGAAGAAACTCAAACACATGCAAAGTGAACCGACTGGACCCCAGTGTCCTGTTCTACATTTTACCAACTACATGATTTGAAACAAGTCATTTACTTTGAACTTCACTTTAATAAATTCTAAAAGAGAGTTCTATCTACTTCACAAGGTTGGGATGAGAGTTGTTCGGCCACTGCAAAGCGTGAGCTTAGCACATCTGATGTCCTGACCGCAGAGCGCCGAGATGAGTCTCTCCTTCCTGCAGGTGTTTGAGACCTCGGTGCGTGAGACAGACGCACAGAGAAGGAGCCGGAGCACAGAGCAGGCATTCCTACTCTAAACCAGGTTAACGTGAACCAGCCGTCAGCCTGCTTCGTGGGGACCACGCAGGAAGGAAGCCACGCAGGGCAGAGACTGTGCTCGTGGGTGGGGCCAGGGGGTGCGACCTTTCTTCATCGGGCCAGCAGGTCACGGAGGTTACACAGGCTGAGGAGACCTTCCACGCTAAGCTAGGAACAAAATTGTTACCTATTTTTTGGACCAAAACAGAGTCAGCTTTAAACAGTTACTTGTGACGCAGATTCCTGTTCTCCTTTGGAAGATTCATTTATACTAAATAGTGCTGGAACTGCATTGTTTTCCTCTGTGAATCATCCCTTAAATACCCACTGAAGCGTGCCATCGTCTGTGTTGTTGTTGCTTTGGGGAGTCCTGTATTCGTAGCCCAGTTCTGCAGCTGAAGAAAAAATTAATTACCATAGCATGCTGTTTAATTCTAACTACAAGTTTGTGGAATGCTAACAATTTTTCCCCATTTAAATTCTAGGCACATTCAAAGCAATAATCAACCTCCACAGCCCCCGGTTCCACCGTTAGGTTACATGTCCGGAGCCTTGATTTCTGATTTGGAAACAGATGTTCCAGATGATGATGCTGACGACGAGGAGGATACTTTAGAAGTCCCCAGGCCCCTGAGAGGTCTAGAACAGACGCCTGGATCGAGTGTGGACAATCTAGACAGCTCTGTGACAGGTAACAGAACTGCTTTAAGAGGAGTAATTGACTCTTAGTAACATTAAAATGCACCAAACATCAGATTCTTATGTAAGATTTATCCCACTCATCCATTTCTGTAACATTTTAAATAGGTTAATATTAAACACAAAACTCAAAAGGATTTGCAGATATTTTTTCCTTTGCTGCAAGAATGATAAGAAAAGTTCATGAATTTTAAAAAGCTTTAAAGACATGAAAGAAAACTCAATTATATCCAGGGCTTTCATGAAATTTCACTCGACTGGAGAACTAAGTCTATTACATAAAAACCTTGACTTTAGAAACGAGATATTTCATAAAACAGGAACAACATACAAAGTGGATCCAGGTCAATATGATTCTTGATATTTTACTCCATGAAATCATTCATTGATGAAATAAGCAAGTCTTCAGAATAAGTATTTCTGAGGCTGCACAGTATTATTCTTAGAGTGGAGAAAGTGCGTGGCGAGATAAACCACAGCATGCATTGCATATGGTGGGTCCAGTAACCGATTCTCTCCCGAGAAACACATCGCTCTCTGCTCCTTTGGTTTCCTCTCGCCCCGTTCACCAAGGGGGCGGCTGGGCTGCAGCAGGTGCAGTGATCGCAGTCCTGCGACCTACTTCCAAGGACTCAAACATGGAGAATAGTAAAAACTCAGTCTTTCTATTTAAGCAGGTATCCATTCTCTCTCTCTCTCTCTCTCTCTCTCTCTCTCTCTCTCTCATACACACATATCTCTTGCATGACTATAAAGACGTAACTTTTAAAAATGTAAGTTTGTCTTTGCATATCATTGGATCTTCTCAGAAAACCACTCATTTCTTCTTTGCTTTGGGGTGTCCTTCTTAGGACGATTGCATGACATTGCCATTTCATTCATCTTTAGACCAGCAGCTTCCCAATTTGCACAGATTTCGCTTCATGTGTTAGAGTTGAAAAACCTTGATGAAAACTGCTTTATGACATGATGGAGAAACATGAGTGCCCGTATTTCTTCTCCGCACCCCCTCCTGAACTACAAAATGTTGATGCATGAGCCCACGGTTCAGTGTTCCTTCTCACCTGGGCCTGTCTTCTTGCCAGGCTAATTAAGATTTAAGAAGTGCAGACATACTGTGGTGGTTTGAAATCCAGTTCCACTAAAGGTGCAGAAGTTTAAATCTGTGAATGTCTAGAGCTAACTTGTTAGTACACTGTTATGTTCAGCCCCTTTGCCTGAATTTCTCCCATGATCTCCTTCAGGGTAAAATTCTGCATATTTTTGCATATCTCACTAATGATACTGAACTATTTTCCATTAGGAATGCAGAAGAGAATTGCAATAATAATACCAAAAAGTCAGCTGTAGCCTATGTAGTTCTTTTATTAAATATTATAATTTCAAAGATGTTAGATATAATCTATAAATCAGGAGAATGACATTTTCACTTTTACATGCTCACCTGTGAGTAACATGTTAGGTTATCTAATGTGACTGCAGTTACAAACAAATTGCATAGCTAGTATACTGTTCCTTCCAAATGAAGCTTTTATTGCTGAGAAAACAGTCTGTTTTCCTACTTAAATTCACTGCTTAATTACTGCCATATATAAATACTTCCGGGTGTGGAGATATGTATTCCATGATGAATTTGTTCTCTGAATAATATATCTTTTCAATAAAAGAAGTTGCAAGCTTCACAGAATTCGCCAAATAAGAAAATCTTTTCTTTTTTTTCCTTCCTTTCCCTCCTTCCCTTCCTCCTTCCTTCCCTTCCTTCCCCTCCCTCCCTCCCTCCCTCCCTCCCTCCCTTCCCCTCCCTCCCTCCCTCCCTCCTCTCTCTCTCTCTCTCTCTCTCTCTCTCTCTCTCTCTCTCTCTCTTTCCTTCCTGACTCTACAATAATAACTTTGTGGAGAAGGTGTGGTCAAAGATTTTATTTGCTTTCTAGGGTACAATTGTGATGTCAGTTAAATATAAAAGTACATTTATTTTCTCAGAACAGTGTGTACGTGAAGAGGGTGTGAGTGAACGTGTATAGATATGTTTGTATGAGTATGTAGATAGGGTTGTGACTACATGTAAACTGTGTGTGAGTGTGTGTAGGTGTGTTTGAGTGTGCACAGGTGATGAGTGTATTGGAGAGTGTGTTTCTGCACGCATGCACGTGCACTAGGTGTTGACTCTGAGGTAAAGGAATGTAAGGGCCAAATGTTACAGAAATCAACATGCTAGTGAATATTATTCTCGTGTGTTTATGTTTTCTTCAGATGCTTAAGGCTAGTGTGATGGTGCTAAGTGAGGTGGGCATGTGTTTTTACGAGGATTGTGATCTTACCATAAATTTCTTTGAGTTATAAATGTGTGTGTGATGTGAGTAAATCAGTCCTTACTTCCACCTGAATTCTCTGTTCAGGATTTTCATTTTCATTAACTAATCACCATTTTTATTAAATAGGACTAATATTCCATTACTTGGAATTCTAAAGTCATTTATAACATAGAGATGGCCTTCTAAGCTTGTACATAAAATTATTCAGGATTTTGCTTGAATATATTACATTCCAACAGCTGTCACATTAAGTAACATTAGCAGTTAACATGGTATAGAGCCCATATTTGTAAAGAAATAAGTGTATTAATTTCAAATATTTTTATAACCACTGAGAAATTTCTGAGGACTTCTTAAATTCTGACATACAGTTCATGAATGGAAAAGGCAAAGAAAATGGAAAATGCCAGCAGTTCCATGTCCCCTGGACTCTGTCTTAGTCTGGTCAGGCTGCTGTAGCAAACACCAGAGACCGAGGACTGAAACAGCACGTGGTTATTTCTCACAGTTCTGGAGGCTGGGAGGTCCAGGGTCAAGCTGATGGCAGGTTGAGCTCCTAGGGAGAATTCTCTTCACAATTTGCAGACAACTGTCTTCTCTCTGTGGACTCCTGGCTTTGAGAGAGAGCAGCTCTCTGTCACTTTTTGTAAGGTCACATTCCATCGTGATGACCTCACACTCATGCCTTCATCTAAACGTAATTGCCTCCAAAGGCCCACCTCCAAGGGCCACAACATTAAGGGCTAGGGTTTGAGCATATGCATTTTAGGGAGATAGCAACTTCAGTCTGTAAAAGTCAGTAATGGAAAATGTATTTGCAAAATTGTTATATATTTAATTTTTTTTTCTTTTTATTGATTTTAGAGAGAGAGAGAAAGGGAGAGGAAGAGAGAGATAGAAACATCAATGAGGGAGAACATCGATTGGCTGCCTCCCCTATGCCCCCCACTGGGGATTTGGCCCAAAACCTGGGCATGTGCCCTGACCAGGAATCGATCCGGCAATCTCTTGGTGCATGGGTCAACATTCAACCACTGAGTGACACTGGCTAGGTGCAAAATTGTTATATTATTTATAAATTCCTGCAACAAATATTTATTGAATGTCTAATTTTTTCAAACTCTTGGTTAAGAATTTAGATTTAATAATGATAATGATGATGATGATGATGACTGGCACATAGGTAACCCTTGTAAATGCAGGGCACTCTTCTAAGCAATGGCCTGGTGTGTGTGTGTGTGTGTGTGTGTGTGTGTGTGTGTCTTAGTGAGCTAAGAATGTTTCCTACATTTTTAAAAGGTTATAAGAAAACAACAAACAATAAAAAACAAAGACTGTATAACAGAGAAGGCAAAGCTTAAACTATTTAGTACCTGGTACTTCAACTAAAAAGTTTACCTATCCCTGTTCTATAGTTTCAATATATAATAATTTATTTAATCATCACGACCTTATTTTTAGTCTCTCTTTTTTTATTTTCAGTGTTGATAAACTACATATATATATTATATATACATATATATTATATATATATTGAATTTATTGGGGTTACAATGGTTAATTATATAGGTTTCAAGTACAAGTGTGTAATATATCATCTCTATATTGTATTCTAAGTTCACCACCCAAAGTCCAGTCTTCTTCCATCACCACTTATCCCCCTTTACCCTGTCTGCCTGCCCAACCCATCCCCTGTTTATTCTCTTTTCATAGACAAGGAACTGGGTCACGGAGGGGTTCGAAGCCCTCTCCAATGTCACACACTTGAGAGGTGGTAGAAGAAGGTTCATAATCAATCCGTCTTAGTCTAAAGATAAATTATCATAATCCCTGCTCTGGAAATGCCCAACTTTTCTAATCTCTGGGTGTGGAACTTTTTTTAAAAGGAACTTGATTTTCTGGTCTATTACTTAACAAGTGGCGTTTGCACGCGCTCTCTCTCTCTCTCTCTCTCTCTCTCTCTCTCCCCCCCTTCTCCACGTTTGAATAAATAGAACAAGTAATTTTATCTCAGACAACATTAGTTCTTACCCCTATACACTTAATCAAGATGAAAAATATTAATTTCTTTCTTTTACAAAATTTTATTTTTTATTTTTTCCATCGCCATGTACCCCTCTGTGCTCTCTTGCACCTCCACCCACACCCTGCACCCCGCCATCGCCCATGGCCATGAGTCCTCTCGCTTTTGTTTCCTTTTTTGCTCAATCTCAACAACCCCCTGGCCCCTCACCCCCCACCCCAGAACTGTATGCCTATTCTCTATCAATGAATCTGTCTCGGTTTTTCTTGGTATTTCAGTTTGTTCATTAAATTCTACATATGAGTGAAATCATATGGTACTTGTCTTTCTCTGACTGGCTTATTTCACTTAGCATAATTAATGGTCTCCAGGCCCACATTTCACAGACACATTTCTTACTTTTTATGGCAGAGTAGTAGTCCATTGTGTATGTGTACCACAGCCTGTCTATCCACTCATCTACTGATGGACAGTTGGGCTGCTTCCAAATCTTGGCTAGTGTAAAGAATGCTGATATGAACATGAGGATATACATATTCTTTCAAATTAGTGTTTTGGGATTCTTCAGAATTCCCAGAAGTGGAATTACTGGGTCATAAGGCAGTTCCAATTTTTTGAAGTATCTCCATACTGCTTTCCACAGTGGCTGCTCCAAGT